TAAGTCCCAGATGGTTTCTAAAATCACAAATTAGTTTTTGTGCAAATTGCAGATAGAGGGTATAAATGAATCTAAGCCCTCGATATTTAACGTATTTATATTTGTAAGTTATTGGAAGATTTCTGCTGTGTTTTGGCAACAACCTGTCTACAGTAAAAAATTATATAATTTGTGTTTGAAAAGTGTGTTAAAACCAAAAACTAATCAATTAACTTACATGATCTCGGTTTCGATATTAAATAATCAATGATTGTTTATACCCTCATTTTGGCACATTGGTTTGTTGAATGTGCCATCTAATAAATAATGTCGTCGTGCTCCTTAGCAGCTTTTAAATGATTTCACAAATTGCTGGCGGAGACATGAATACAGTGTAAGAAAATTCCTTTTCTATAATTGTTTCCTTATAGAAAGGTTGGTTTTTTTTCCGCCTTAGACATTCCGAATTCGTTCAAAATATGCTAATTTAAAACACAGAATTCTTTCAGTGTTTCTCCGGGGTTTTTGGACACGGACTGTTTCTTCAATTAAGTAGTGCTCGCTTTATTTTTGTGGAAACGAAACATGTTTTGCAAGTTCTGGATCATTTCTACACTCTTTCTTCAAATATTCCTCGAATGTTTTTACTATATTCGTAATTTTAAATTTCTTAATAAAATCAATTGGTGGTAGTTCATGATTGTGTGTGGATTAATAGCACCACACTGAGGATTTGGCAATAACCTTTTTCATCTATTAAAAAACAACACTTACGGGGCAATGTTTATTGTAAGAACATTTTTTTCTATGAATCGACATACTTTAAGCATTGTTGACGCTATTTCCATTTGAATGAGGAAATAGCGTCAATGTCTTTATTTCCAAATTTTTGTTGACTTTATTTCGCTTTTGAAAAGGTAATAATGTCAATAGACTTTATTTCGCACCAGGGTGGGAAATAAAGTTAATTGACCTTATTTCCGTTGATCTTGTTACCTGTCACCGAATTTTATTGTTTTATCGTTTTTTTTTATGAAATGCATGCACGTACACGGAAAATTGTAAACAAACTTCTTCTTTCTCTTTTGTAAGCGTACGTACGCCTAGCTACCAACACTGCTGTACGACAAGCGATTTGTAGCTAGCTTGCTTTGACGATTTCGTGAAGCCCTCCATTTAAATGCACGTGTGCGGCATCAAAGCGTATAACTTTCGTACGTAGCATCTAATACGCGTCTAAAGCTATACGACCCGTGTGCAGACTGCCTTACTCTACCCTCAATTAGTAACTCATTTACTCAACGCCTTCCGCCGGTAATCGCGTCTAATACTAGGAGACTGGTTGTGGTTACCCCAAAGAAGTCTATATTTGTCTCTAGATTTTCGAGGGATACTTCCGAAGAGGATATAGTTTTACATCTCGTCCAAAATTAAAACTGTCAACTTAATATTTCTTCATTTAAAGTTGACGTAAGTTTAGAAAATTTTGACATGCTGCTTAGTAGTTATTATGGCCCTCTGGAGCTTTCGTTCGTGAATTCGAGTATAGGCCCAACAAAAAGAATAATTTAGCAAATATTCCCCGTCAGAATACTGAATCAAAAAACTGATTACTAAATCTGCTTTATGTATTTATTATCAAAACGTGAGAGGCTTAAATACTAAATTAAAGAGCTTATGTATATCTTAAGGGCCTTGCATGCAACTATAATATAATTTCTTTCACTGAAACTTGGCTCAACCCTCACATTTTCAATTCAGAGATTCTTTCAAATGATTATCATATCCATAAAAAAGATCGAGAGGACAGAATCGGCGGTGGCATACTCTTCGCCGTAGACTCTTCAATACCACCTGAAGAAGTTAGTCTTCCATACATTGAATCTGCAGAATTCAAATGCATTCCCCGATCTGACTTATCGGTGTATTCGCAATATGTCTCTTTACTGAAATCAGTTAATTTAATGATTAAACCCTGTGATTCAATGATTGTGTAGGGCGACTTTAATTTACCAAATATATCATGGAATATCCTTGACAATGATATCGTACCTTTCTCGTCTAGTGCGTGTAACAACGTATTTTTAGAGGAGATGGCTGACTTCCGCCTAAATCAACTTCGCAATAACTTTGGCAAAGTATTAGATCTTGTTTATGTTGATGATGCATCTAAGTCCGCTGTAAATAAGTGTGACCCACTAGTTTTGCCCGGAGATGTCTACCACCCTGCTATTGAGACATCTTACGAAATTATAAACGATGGTCAAAATTTCGGTATCCAAACATACGAACCAAATATTCGCTTTTATTTTTCGAAAGCGAACTTTAAAAAAACTGATTAAAGAATTGTCTAAACTGTCGTGGCTTGTATACAAAGAAAAAGTTGAGCAAACCGTTGCACATTTTAATTTTACCGTATTTTTACGTTTCGGGTATTAATGAGACACAGAGTTTTTGTTTAGTATACTTTTAGTATGTATCATGAGTTTATTTACAATAATATTCGTAGTTCACTAACTGTATTAAATATATTAACAAGGGTTGTTATGATGTATATGTGACGCGTTTGCTTTGACGGCTGATGAGCGAGTGATTTAGCCTTGCTTATAAAGCTAACGTTTTAGCTGTCTGTTGCTGCTTGCCAGTATTGCCACTTCAATCGAAATTTTCCCAAGGGAAATGCTAGCCCGAGTACATAAGCTCATGTCTTCAATATGGCGCCCCGCCTGTGCCAGCTGCAGCGCTTCTGGTTGGTTTTAGGGACCCACTGCTTCTTCGAGTGTGGACATCTTGCCTTTCTATCTGGAAGTATATAAATGAAGACTAAAAGAGGAATTGTGAAGGTGGACGCTTCTGGTCGCCAAATGCGTAGCGTGAGAGTATTACCAAGATAGCGAGTTAAGGGACTGGACACGGCTAAGTACATATATAATTTGAGATGACTAAGATGAACATTCTGGTTATTCGATCAAATGAGTACTCATAGTGTTCTGAGCATATGCATATATGTAGATACGTATATGTGCAACGCCACTTTGTAGGTTTAGGATGTGATATCATTTTATATTTGGGTTTTGTTAAAGTTAAGGGACTGTTAAGGGCTGCCTAAAGCTCATATACATCACTAGTGCTGCACGTTGCATAGCGTACGTGCCTGTAGTTTTGTGCCCTAACTTCCTTATGCACTTCTTCGGCGAGGTACGAAATAGTGGTGACGTTGGTGATGACACGTAATTCTATTTTTCGGCAGCTGTTGGTTATTTAATTTACAGTGATCATACACAGAGAAACTTGCAAAAGATAATTTATATTTTGGGAGAGGTGATATCAATGAGTATGCCTTCTGAGTGTTGCTGGTAGGGTCCGCGATTGAAACAGGTTCGAATACTTCTTGCAGAGTGGCATGAAGTTTCCGTTGATGAGGTCGAGAATTGGGTATGACTTTTGTAAACAGAATGGAGGCAGAATGCCTTATCAAACGCTTAGCAGTCCTTGTGCTGTGATAGAAATACGGTAAGAAAGCTGTACTTATTTCAACGGCTGATATTTTCTGCTCATAATAGTGGGGTTGCTTTTGGAAACTCCCTTGATGAAATCTATGGTGGACGTATGGGGTAGCGTTTAATTTATTCAGTTTCTTAGTACCGAAATTTTATCGGGTGATTGAAAACTGTGGAGTGTTAAAGGGCAAACACGGCGGTCCGAGTGAGCACGAGACTGTTGCGCTCATTTCTTTTACATTTCCATCAGGTGGGTTAACTTTCTGTGTGGAGTTTGAGCTTGGACGTGGCTAGTAATTTATTTTTGAGAAGAGAGGGAATTCCGTCCTCTCGTAATGCACCCCTTCCTTCTAGAGGTAAGTGAGAAAATTGTTTGTCCTTTGTTAGCGATAGATTTGGGTTAGAAGGTTTCTGCGAGGAGCGATACTTGGAGGCTTTGTCCAACTATGATTCATAGAATCATAGTTGGATACTTTGATCTTAGTGGTCAGAGTAGATCTTTTGCCTTCTTCATTAAGATTGTTCTGGGGGGTAGAACATGAAGAAATCGAATTATTTATCTTGTCCTTAGAGGCGGACGATTCTGGGATGGAGTACTTTTGGAATTTTTTTGTGTTATAGGTAGATTCGCTCGTGACATTAGGGCTCAACATTTGCGCTGTGAGATTAGTTAAGGATTTCACGTTATTCCTATCAGGATTAGAGATTGTCCTTTTATCGTGGGATTATGGGAAGACGTTTATCGGAGAACAACGGGTTATCCAGCGCGATTTCGTCTTATTCCTCAAGGCGGCAGCTTTTGATGTTGCAGAACGATATGCGGTACGCGGCCTCTATTGGCAATTCATACCGCCTTATGCCCCTCACATAGGCGGTCTGTGGGAAGCCGCCGTAAAAAGTTTTAAACTTCACCAAAGTCACTGGAAACCACAAATTCAGTTTTGAGGAATTCACCACTCTCCTCATTCGGATCGAGGCAGTACTTTACTCGCGCCCTCTCTCCCCATGTCACAATACCCAAGCGACTTACTAGCCTTAACGCCGGGACATTTTCTCCGCGGCGCTCCCTTGGTTTCCCTACCCGAACCGAATGTCGAAAATGTATCTCTCACTACAAAATGGGGAACATTGAAAGTTCTCCATCAGCAGCTCAGCTCACGTTGAAAACCGAGTACCTGCAAGAACTGCACAAGAGATACAAATGGAAACACCCGCAACTCAATATTAGCCAAGGAGATTTGGTGGTCATCCAAGACGATCTCTTGCCCCCAAATGATTGGCGCCTTGGCCGAGTCAGTAAACTCCATTTGGGTGCTGACCAAAATGTACGAGAAGTGGATGTTCGCATACAAGCCGGCATAGTCACTCGCAACGTCACGAAACTATACGTACTGCCCCCTTCGTAGTATATTCCTCCCTCGTTTTTAATGGCCTCCTAAAACGAACACACTGCCCCTAAATCTATAACCCCTGTTCACTGTACACTGATATGTGATTAAATTTTCAACTTTTTCTTCGTAGATGAACAGAAAAAACGATGGAACTAAATCAATGCCGCCTGTGCTGCCGCTATCACTCGCTGAGGGTTTGCCATACGAGCGGTACGAGTCGCGCGAGTGCACAAATAGTGCATCAACTGTTTGGCAACATCGCACATCACAGGTGCGTGCAACTGAGCAGACAGCTGCCATCAATGTGGGAAGGCGCACCATATGCTGTTGCACCGCTCTACGTCGCCGGTCCCTGAACGCAATCGCCGCGAGGATGGGCATATGTCAGTCCGCAGTGGACGAACCACACTCCCCAGTCGCGTGGTAAAGAAATCCAGGAAGCAGGGGTATGGCGACAGCCACCCCGTTCAACAGCGCATCCACAACCTTTTCAACAGGGCTGTGCTGATATTGCAAAAAGCTACAAGAGCTGCTTCACCTCGCACCGGTGCAGGCGGGCCGACATGTCGAGGACATCGAGTTCGATTAGATTGAATTTTCCTTTCTTTGTAAAATGCGTGCGACCGGCAACATCATTTTGCTATTGTGAATTTACATTTGAAAAATGCTTTGTAAGAGCAGAGAACTTAGATAGATAGAGAAGGTGCAAATTTTTGGAACGTAAAATTGTTTGGCTGAAAAATAAATCCATGGAAATCACCACAGCGCGATTAACATTTCAAGAAGAGTTAACAGAGAAAAATGTAAATTTCTGTTATGATAATGTTATATTTGTTGCAAGTGCCTGGCTATGTGTTGCTAGGTTGCAGGTGAATGCAGAAACGTATTCATGTACATTTTTTTTATAAAATTAAATAAATTAATATAGTTAAATTATATTAAATGTACTTTTATATTAGTTAGAATTGCTGATTTGCATTTCTGCATGACCATTTGTTAAATATAATTTATTCAGTAGTTAATGTTGCTAAAAACTTAAAAAGCATCTGTTCAAGTTCGCTTCTTGTACGAGTATTATATTATGTAAATAGTAAAAATGCATGTTAGTTAAAAAATGATAAAATTGGTTTTTTCACATACTCACTTTAAAGATGGACGCATTAACAAAAAAATGTATAAAGCAATGTGTTTGTTAACTTCAACGTTGTTTTTGACTTTTACTGCAATACTCGTAGATATTATTTGTAAATAATAGTTCTGGAGTCAAATGCAAATCCATTTCCCAGGCATGCGCATATGGATACTTTAGGGCCGGTTTCTTCATCTCTGGTTAACACTAACTCCCCGGTTAAACATTGTTATCGACGTTCTAACTCTATGCATATAACAGGGAGTCGATAAGGTCGGTAACGATGTTTACCGGGGGATAAGTGTTAACCGGAGATAGAGAAACCGGCCCTTATAGTACATACAGATGCGATCAACTAATTACCAACGAAATTCAAAATGATATTGTTTACAAATTATGTGTATTTATTTATTTTTAATATTTTCCTTTAAAATATAATTCAATCTATAACAGAAACCACAATACTAAAAGTTTAAAAGCTTGCATAATTTGCAAAATAATTAATCAAACTTCAAAAAATTGTTATAAAAATTTAAAAAATTTTAGTTAGAATATTTAGAAAATTTTCGGGTATGCAGCTTTGTAGTCCATTCAATCAACTACACTAAAGTCCAAGTTTCTAGTCGTTAAAAATTACCGTTGATTTCTTAGAATTTTTTTTTTGTGGAGGGTGTTCGCATTTTCTTCCATATAACACATGAACCAATTTTTTTTTTTGTATGAAAAATAAACAGCAACACCCCAACAAAAAAATCTAAAAAATCAACGGTAATTTTTAACAACTTGAAACTTGCACTTTCTTATAATATAATTGAATGGATTACAATACTGCATACCCGAAAATATATTATTCAAATAAAAAATTTGGATGACCATTTCTTGAAGGTTGATTCATTTTTTTGCAATTTGTGCAAGCTTTTAAACTTTTATTATTGTGGTTTCTGTTCCAGATTGAATTATATTTTAAATGAAATTCATTAAAAATAAATAAACATAATTTGTTGATGGCAGCTGAATGTATGTATGTATGTACTTACATATGTAAATATGTACCCCATACACATACTCCAAAATCATTTATTGATAACGACTCCTATGTGCCATGCTGGCTCTGCGATGGGATTGCCCATATAAAATGTGCTGGTTTGAGCGGTAGAGTATTAGACGCTATTAACGAGGGTAAGGGTCTTCGTTGGTCTTGTCAAAAATGTAGATCAACCGAAGTTGATTTATTTAAATTCTTCAGGCAGTCCAGAAATGGTTTTTCTGAGATCGGGAAGGATCTGTCGGCGCTTGTTGAGAAATTTAAGCATTACGAAAAAATGTTTAGATCTTTCACTTGTCTCGACGACCCTCCACACTCTGAAGATAGCCGTGAAAATAAAGGTGGGCATGCTATTAGTCCACCTAAAAAGACAGCCACGGATTCTAGTAAAAAAAATCCTCCATCCCAGTCCTTAGAACTTATTAATTTATCTTCTCCATGCCCTCAGGCATTGGAGCCTCCGATTTCTAAAGCCATATCCACTAGGTCTACTTCAAAAAATAGTCAAACCGTTGATTTAACAGTGTTGCCATCAACATCTCAAGCTCCACTGTCTAACTTAGTTCCTCCGAATAATTCGGAGCCCCGCACATCAGACATCATTACCAAAAAGTTGGTTGTAATTCCTCCGAGAAGATCAATCTTTGTCTCTAGATTTGCTAAAGATACTTCTTCGGATGATATAAAGTCATACATATCGACTAAAATTAGAACTAAAGATGTATTTATTCGTAAATTTAATTTTAAATACGATCGCGATATTTCATCTTTTAAAATTGATGTAGCTTCCGAAGATTTTGATTCACTACTAAATAGTTCATTTTGGCCGACCGGGGCGTTTGTTCGCGAGTTTGAGTATAAACCTAATAAAAGTAATAATAACGTAGCTAAAATTTCTAATCTTAATTCTGATTCAAAAAACTAACTCGCAAGTCTAATTTAAGTATTTACTATCAAAACGTTAGAGGTTTGAATACCAAATTAACTGACTTATATTTAAAAGGTTTTGACTGCAATTATAATATTATTTCCTTGACCGAAACATGGCTCAAACCTCATATTTTTAATTCCGAAATTCTTCCAAATGAATATCAAATATACAGGAGCGACCGCGTGGGCAGAATCGGCGGTGGTGTTCTTTTTGCGGTGCATTCATCGATACCATCCGAGGAAGTTAGTCTTCCTGTCATTGAATATACCGAATTTAAATGTATACGTGTACAGGCTGGAAAGACTTATATTTATTTAGCTCTTTGCTACATCCCTCCTAATTCTGCCGTATCGGTATATATGCAGCTAGTTTCTTTACTTGAGACCGTAAATGCAATGCTTACGGCATCCGATTCTATGATTGTTTTGGGCGATTTAAATCTGCCACATATTTCATGGAACATCATTGACACCGATGTTGTACCAGTTTCATCTAGAGATAGTTACAATGTATTTCTGGAGGAAATGGCTGAACTATGCCTCAAACAAATAAATATATGTCCAAATAAGTTTGGAAAGGTCTTGGATCTCGTTAACGTTGATGATGTTCCGAAGGCCTCTATTAATCGGTGTGATCCCCTAGTTTTGCCGGAAGATGCATACCATCCTGCTCTTGAGTTAAACTACGAAATCATAAATGAAATACATAATAATAAGTCAAGTTCAAGTACTAGATATGTTTTTGCGAAAGCAAATTTCAGGGAAATTAACAAAGAACTTTCAAAGTTATCTTGGCCAATATATAGAGATGACGTGGAGCGTAGCGTTGAGCACTTTAATGATACTGTTTTCAATTTGTTTCGAAAGTATGTGCCAATACGTAATATTGTTCATGAAGAACCAATACAATTATGGTTCACTAAAGAGCTTAAAAAATTGAAAAATAAAAAGTCGCACTCTTTTAAACTGTATAAAAGAACGGGCTTACACAGTGATTACCTAAGGTACTCAGTTTTGCGGCATAGCTACTTTGCATTAAATAAGAAATGTTATAATTCATATTTATGTAAAATTAAGAAGAATTTAATTAACAATCCTAAATCATTTTATGGTTTCGTAAATTCAAAGCGTAAGGCACATGGTTTTCCGTCCGCTATGCATTATCGCAACACTGTATCTAGCGACAGCCAACTCATTGCCAACATGTTTGCTCGGTTCTTTAGGTCCAATTATTCTGTAGACTTCCCTATAAGTGGAGACTATCCGTACGAGCTTTGTCCAATCAACTCTGCTTATATTCCAGTAATATCTTCCGATGAAGTTTTATACTCTTTAAAAACCTTAAAAGCGTCATTTAGGCCTGGACCTGATCATATTCCGACCTGTTTTCTTAAAAACTGCGCTGAGAACATCTGCGAGCCTTTAACAACTCTATTCAATTTGTCGCTTAAACATGGCGTTTTTCCGTCTGCCTGGAAGGAGTCTTTCATAATACCACTTCACAAAAACGGCAGCAGGTCGTCTATAGAAAACTATCGAGGCATAGCGAAACTCTCCGCTATCCCCAAATTATTCGAAGCAATTATTGTTAACCAGCTGACATATTCTATATCTTCTTCAATTACACAATCTCAACACGGGTTTTCTAAAGGAAAATCTACTATTACTAATTTATTGGAGTTTACAACTCATGTCTCAAACGGTTTTAGAGAAAATGCTCACACCGACGTAATTTACACCGATTTCAGTAAAGCTTTTGACAAAGTATGTCACTCGTTACTCATCCGTAAACTCGACCTAATCGGCTTTCAGCCCAGTCTCCTTCAATGGATCTCATCTTACCTCTCTGATAGAACACAAAGAGTTATTGTTAATAATTGTTCTTCCAACATCATTAAAGTTTCTTCAGGAGTTCCTCAGGGAAGCCACCTTGGTCCGATTCTGTTCCTGATATTCATTAATGATATTTCTTCTATAATAAAACATTCAAAAATTTTAATGTATGCCGATGATGTGAAACTTTTTAAAACATTGTCCTCTATCGAAGAAAGGTCTTTGTTACAAGCGGATCTGAACAACGTGGTTAGTTGGTGTAATACAAACTATATGCCACTAAACCTTCAAAAATGTAAAGTTATGTGTTTCTCTCGGAGGGCTGTTCAACCAGCTGTTTATTCAATATCAAATTATAATCTGGAGCAGGTATCCAATTTTGTCGATCTTGGTATCACAATGGATTCCAAACTCAATTTCAACCATCATATTAATGTTACAGTCAATAAAGCCAAAGGCGTTTTTGCATTTGTAAGGCGATGGTCAAAAGAGTTCAAAGATCCTTATGTTACAAAAGCTCTTTTTACCAGTTTAGTTAGACCTATACTAGAATACGGATCTATTGTTTGGAATCCCCGCTACCAAGTTCATTCAGAAAGGATTGAATCAATTCAAAAACAATTCTTGCTTTTTGCATTGCGTAATTTTAACTGGGATTCAGATTACAATCTCCCCCCTTACACAAGCTCTAAAGCTCATAAATTTGCCTACACTCGCAAGTCGTAGAGAAATGCTGGGTATAATATTTATCGTAAAATTAATGACAGGCTTGATTAATAGCCCG